CCCCCCCCCCCCCCCCCCCCCACTCTGTGGGTCCTATTACGATGAAATAACCACTTAGAGCTGATAAAATAACCATCGTTTGACAAATTAAGATGACCTGCTCTATTTTTTTCTGATAATTGCTCTTATTTCTGTAAAATTCAAACATACAATAAAATAATAAATAATCTGCCAACCATCTTTTTTAAGGGAAACTGTTCAGCTTTGGTACATTTCCTTATTTCAACTTTGATCATTTATTAAGTCCTGTAAAAATAATGATCATGGATCACTTGATGTTTGACTTGGTGGCAACCAGAGAAATTACAGACACAACAGAGTGGATTTTTTTTTAAATTCTTATTGCTTTTATTTTTAAAGCACCAGAGAAATATTTGGTTTCTGTGTTTGTTTCTGAGACAGCACCCCCTGCTGGACTCCTCTAGGCCTCCTGTGTCGATGTGCTCACCACCTTTCCATCCACCAACACCTCCTCTACGACCACGTATCTGGTGGTTGTGGTGGTTACCGGGGCGGTGGAGGTAACGGTGGTGGTGGTGGTGGAGGAGGAACTGTAAATGAAACAAATAAAGGGTTAAATGGATGCAATGTTTAACATTGTTGCTCAGTTTTAAATATTTTCATAATTTTATTCTTTAAATCAGGCATCCCCAAACTCGGTCCTCGAGGGCCGCTGTCCTGCAGGTTTTAGAGGTTTCCTTGCTCCAGCACAGCTGATTTTAATTGAAAGCTGATTAACAGGCTTCAGCTCTACTGCAATCATGATAATCAGCTGTGCTAAAGCAGGGAAACCTCTAAAACCTGCAGGACAGCGGCCCTCGAGGACCGAGTTTGGGGATGCCTGCTTTAAATTATTGATATTGAATTACTTTTCTTGAAACAATTATTAAAACATGTGTAGCAATGTTGGTATATCTGTTTTAATGCAGTGTTGAAATTTTTCGTTTTTTTTAATTCGTTTCAAATTATGCAACTTCTTCGTCAATTTGTTAAAAAAAAGAATTTCTTATGTATTTAATTAACACGTTCAAAACTTTCTCCAAAAGGTAGAGAACAAAACAACTGCAGGTTTTCTAGAAGTTTTAAATGTGTTCCAAAGTATATCTGTTTTTATTTTGTAACTTCATGTATGTTCTCTCTAAAGGTGAGTCAATTCTGCTAAGGCTGATTGTCTGACTGGCTTGTTTTCAGAGACCGGGGAAATTTCTCTGCAGTCTTCAGTATAGCTTCCTGACATTTGAGGAACTTTCTCCAGGTGATGCAGTCCTACCTGCTATCTGACTCTCCATCCAGCAGCCTCCTGTACTCTGCGATCTCCATCTCCAGCCTGGTCTTGATGTCTAGAAGTGCCTGGTACTCCTGTCTCTGCCGTTCTAGGTCAGCTCTCAGCTGCATCAGCTGCTCTTCCAGTTGCGTAACGTTCATCTGGAAACCGCTCAAGCGCATGGCGTAGCCGTTCTGGGTCTCGGCCAGTGTTGCTTCCAGACCAGCTTTCTTTTGGGGACAGAAGGGAGAAAGCTCGGTTACAGTTAGTGTCACTTTGATCATGCATGCTTGCAGGGAGGTGTTTCTGCACCAACCATGCTGTGTTGTGATTGCAGCTCAATCTCCAGCGCCTGCAGCATCCGTTTTAGGTCTGAGATCTCTGACTTGGTTGACTGTAGAACTTCTGTACTTTGGGCAACTTCTTTGTTGAGGCTGTCTGACTGCATATAGAAGAAGAATATCAGTAATTAATGAAACCGTGATGCAAAAGGGGCCATGTTCTCCAGCTGCCCATGGTTCTACAGTTCATAGGACATCGACCAAAGCCCGATGAACGCCAGAACCCTCACCTTGCTCTGGAACCAGGCCTCCAGCTCCTTGCGGTTCTTGGCGGCGACAGCCTCATAGTGCTCCCTCATCTCCTCCATGATCTTGCTCAGGTCTTCTCCTGGAGCAGCATCCACCTCCACATTCACCTGGCCGCTCATCTGAGTGCGCAAGGCCATCAGCTCCTGCAGATACCCGGACATTAATAACTTCCTCGCCAAGACAACATGGAATCATCTCCATTAGACGTCAGAGCCATCTCACCTCCTCGTGGTTCTTTTTCAGGTAGATCAGCTCCTCCCTCAGACCCTCGATCTGCATCTCCAGGTCTGATCTGCTCATTGTCATTTCGTCCAAGACCCGTTTGAGCCCAGCGATGTCTCCCTCCACTGACTGACGCATGCCAAGCTCATTCTCATACCTGCAGGAGAGACAGGTAAGCTGGGCTGATTTCTACATAAAATGAAGCAGGGACGGGTGCAACACTGCAATGTTTTCTGACTCTGCAGGTTCGGTTTAAGTTTTTTTGTTTGAAAGAGGACTCTGCTGACATACTTGGTCCTAAAGTCATCAGCAGCCAGCTTAGCGTTGTCGATGCTAAGGTAGATTCCAGCGTTGAATACGGTGGCATCCTGGATCTGAGTGATGAGAAGGACCAGTTTCAAGTTTTATTTCATGGATGCAACATTTACAGTATCAGCCCTACGTTTAAATTATTTGACCTGATGTTATTCATTTCATAGATTTCCTAGAAGTTAAAGCAGGAAAAAATTTGCCCTCAGTTAGCCTACCTTTCCTCGCAGATCTGTGATAGTTGCATAGAAGGCACTGTAGTCTTTGGAAGATGGAGAGGTCTTCTTCTCCAGGAACTCCCTGATCTTCTTCTCCAGATCTGCATTGGCTGTTTCCAGTTTGCGTACCTTCTCCAGATAGGTAGCCAGACGGTCGTTCAAGTTCTGCATGGTGGCTTTCTCGTTGGCAGAGATGTTCATGTTGTCAGCACCGCCTGCGCCGCCACCAAAGCCGGCAGCAAAGCCACCACCTGCGCCGCCACCTGCGCCGCCACCAAAGCCAAAGCTGTACGCAGCTCCTCCACCTCCGCCACCAGCGCTGCGGCCGCCGCCATACATGGACATGGCTGAGGAGGCAGAGGACATCCTCAGGCTGCCTAAACTGCCGCCGCCCATGCGGGCGCCGCCAAGAGACCTGGTGGTGAAAGACATGCTGAAGGAGGTTCAGGAGGTGTTTGAGCTTAAGCTGCAGATGAGAGAGTGGAGATGTGAGGAAGCACCTGGTGTTTTATATGCTTAGATGGATTCCAGAGAAAGAGGAGGAGGATGGAGAGCTGGAGTCAAACAGGGAGGAGACACCTGTCCTTTAGGTGTGTCTAAGACATGCAGGGGCCAAAGATGATCGGCATTACAACGGCTCCAACTTGCCAACTTTCATTTTACTTCAAAGGAGTTGAGAAGGACCCGTTCAGACATGGAAAACATTATCCTCAAACCCCTCCAGGAATGAAGAGCCACAACTCAAAGTTAAAGGAGTGTGACCTGCGCAGCTTTGAAAGAGGTGCCAGAAAGAATTAAAGACTAACCCTCAGGTTAGGCCTCCTCTGTCAACAGTAATCCCTCATAAAATGCCAAGGAGTGGTTTAATGTTCTCCTGTCAGAGTGAAAAACAAAGACCACCTCGCCAGGTCTGACAAGAGAAACGGCTTTAGTGAGAAAAGAGGTTTGGGTTTGATCCAGGGTGCAACAGGTGCAGCTTGGTCTCATACTTCTCAAGTTAAGAGAAAACTCTCTGCTGCAGCTTCAAACATCTCTGAAGATGCTGCCGTCTTTATGTTCTGCTGTTGGGAGTCACCACTGTGATGAACTGGGGGGGTCAATGAAGGTAGACCGTGCTGCAGAGAACTCCTTATTTTACCCCCTCGACAGTCCTTTCCATGAATATCATTCACCTTCTCATTGTTCCACAGATAATTGTTGCAGGCGGCTTCTAATGACACTTTAAAAACAAACATAATCTGTACATTTAGGATGATTCCACCGTTTAAATCCCTACAGTTCGCAGGGTTCCCCTCAGTTCTGTTTAAATCCTGTAATCCAGACTAACCCCTCAAAATGTAACTGCATGTTTATTCAGAACTCCTTTCACTGGCAGATTCTAGGTGTCATTCTGGACTCTTGTGATTCAGGCTGAGTCTGAATGCCCCCCCTAATCCCCTAAATCCCTCCATCACTACATAGATCAGGGACTATAGAATGGACTTTATGGTGAACTCAGTTAACTGACCGTTCGGACAGATGATCACTGCTTTGCAATCGCCGTTGGTCATATAACTCTGCTTCCCCGCACGATGCAAGCTCCATCTTTATTATCTGTCGACGGTGTGGGCCACAATAACAGCAACTTCTATGATGCCTTACAAAGCATTCTGGGATGTACCTGCTCATCTAGTGACCATGGATGATCACTACTTTTCAAGGTGCATTGTGGGAAATTTGTAATCCAATACTTTTTCATCCACTAGACATTGGGACACTCTAAATAGTGCTCTATATAGGGCTTTGGACACAGGCTCAATCCCAATCCCAAACCGACCTCTAAGCACTAACCTTCCGTTTGCGCCTTCCCAGGGAGGGTGCGCCACATTAAGGGCCATCCCAAACTACGTAGTGTGTCGGGCGAGTGTACTGTTCAGCCCTTAAATAGCTGTAAATGCAGGCTTGCTGGAATTTGGCAGCTGGTGTAACAGCAGCTTGATGATGGAAGAAACGTGTGCATTTAAATGTAAGTTCTACCGGTTTGCTGCATCTTCTGTACACCAAAAAAAAAAAAAAAAAAAATCCGAAATGGAACGTCTCTTTGAAATAGTTTTATTTGACAGTATACCTTTGTTTTAAGAATGGGGAAAATGTTTGATTTGATGTCACCCTGTGTCAGAGAGCTACAGCTACGGACATGGGGCGTCGCTGTGTTGCCTTAGCAATGGTGGCTTTCTTTTTCTGTTGGAAGAAAAAGAGGCTGTTCCATTCTCGTTTATACCCCCCCACATTTAATCAGACACCTTCCAAAGCTGTGAGTGAGACTTCATTGGGAGTGACAGCTGATAGTTAAGTCTTAGTAGTTAGGGTGCAGTTTGGGATTTAGACTCTGTTGCGTTCACCGTGGGAGTGTGGCATTAGAAATACTCTACCAACCCAAAGGTTGTAAACGTGACCTCTACACAGCATGAAACCCTCATAGTGCTGATTAAATGTCTTTACAGTTCTGTCTGAAGAACAGGACTGAGCTCTGATAGTCAATGATAGTCCTGAGCTATCTGTATAGTTATGCTGCTATAGGCTTAGACTGCTGGAGGACATAGGGACCCCTTTTTCATCATTCTGCTTCATTCTATCTCTATTCTCC